ACATCCACTCACCACTCACTCACTGACTCACGCAGAGCAACTTCCAGTCCTGCAAGCCTCAACCCTGTAAGTGCCCTATACAAGGGTGCTGTTTTTATCATTTATGATGTATTTTTACTCTAACTTTTCTATGTCTAGATATACAGATACCATTGTGCTACAACTGCCTACAGTACTCAGTACAGAGGAGCAACAGGCTATACCACATAGCCTAGGTTTGTAGTAGGCTACACCATCTACGTTTGTGTAAGTACGCTCTGTGATCTGTCAGAACACACATCCCGGTTGTTTAGTGACACGTAACTGTGTATGAATTTATTTCACCAGAATAAAAACAAGGAATTCAAAGATGTCAAATAATCAAATGAGAATATAGTTTTCACAAGCAGTGGGCAGATCACAGTTGATGATCAGTATACACACTACTAAACATAAAAATCAAGAACCTCAGATATGATAGTATATAAATTGTTTCAAAAAGCAACTGCTGCACACTCTTCTAGGCCACAAGAGTAATAACCTATATATAACAGCACAGTTCACTGTGGAGTGTGATCTTCATGCCCCTACAACTTCAGCTGGCAAAGTCTACTATAAACTTTCCCCCTAAACCAACTTTTGCTAGAGAGATACTGTCATTAAATAAGGAATTAGAATACTTACCAACAAGTCAGTAGCAGTCAAAACATGGTTTGTCCTTTATCTCAATTTTCTCCTGACAATGTTTTCTTCCTTCTGTCACTACCTGCAAAACACCACCAACCCCTCATTCTCAAGAGTCATTTGTCAAGTCAGTACTTAAACAGGTGAACATGTATGAGACCAGACATCCCTGCAGCTAGAGCACCATGGCAGACAGGGCTTGAAAGGTAACAGTTTTATTTTGAGCAGGGGTCAAAGACAATGCAGCACTTCACAGCTACAATGTAACTAGATCCTGCCTCAGTTTACTAAGAAAATACAGTGGACCCTTGAAGGAAATGGGTCTGAACTGGGCAGGACCACTTAAGTGGCTTCTCTTCTGCCCCTGCCACCCTTTAGACAGCAAGACTAACCCTCCTCTCTCCTCCTCCTTAGCTTACTTGACATGAACATGAGGAAGATGAAGGCCTTTATGGTGATCCACTTCCACCTAATGAAGAGTAAATGTATTTTCTCTTCCTTATGGTTTTCTTAATAACATTTTCTTTTCTCTAGCTTACTTTATTATAAGAATACAGTATATCCACTTTGGGAGGCCGAGACGGGTGGATCACGAGGTCAGGAGATCGAGACCATCCTGGCTAACACGGTGAAACCCCGTCTCTACTAAAAAATACAAAAA